GTACGGCCTTTATATTTCTTGCCTTCGCAGAGCAGAGCTGTTGTGAAGGAAGTTGTCAAGGAAGTGAGTTTGTGTTTATACAGGACCTCCCGTCCTCACCTTCCATCAACCTTCGCATTGTTACAAAATTTGGGAGGCACATGGCAATGCGCTATGGAGCTCAATTTGGCCTCTGCATGCCTCCAGACACTCTGCAATTGGTTCACACCATCCATACCACGTCTCCGCCCACATTTATCGGATCAAACATAAATAGGCTTTGAGCCTACATTGTAGAGCAGCATGAGAGAGTGGTTTCATCACTGTAGCACATTCAGAGATCGATTTATAGCCATTAATCTAAAATAATTAATAGATTTTAAACAAAAAACTATTTCTGTTTGTCATAAATGGACAAGATTTAACAAGTTCAGGAAGCCAAGCTAGATTGGGGCAGACGTTTTGATCTAACACTCTAACACTAAACATACAAATATATATTTTACAGTTATAAAGAAGGTGAAATCTTATAGTTAGTCGTTTAATAATTTGATTATACTATATTTACAAAGCATCTATGTCTTATTCTTACAGTTTTGTTGAATAGGAAATACATCATCAAATATTTCATATTTTTATCATATTTGTACTGTGTACTTGAGCTTGTGTCCTCAAAAGTGACTATGTATTTATATATATATGTATGTATACATACATATACATACATACATATACATATCCTTTAAAAAAAAATATATTTCCCTTTATTACTTTCCAACCCCACCACCTCTTCCCTAATTGGAGTCAACTAGTGAACAACAATGCTTAGGCCTCTACTTCCAGTTTATACATACTATATACATTTTATTTTGTTTGTTTTTACTCCTGAACTTCCTCTGTTTAGACTTCTTTGTAACAATGTATAGCCCATTTCAGTTCTGGGTGACGCAGCATAGCCAGTTCTTCTAAATCTTCAAATAATTAAAATTGTATCCATGCCTGAATTCGTCATCAATCCTGTATAAATACAGGTGGAAATGAAAGGCATATCTTAATTATTATCACTTAAGGTAACCTTGTCCCCAGGCGAATATATTACACATTACATGCTTCCTAGCAATGGGAGGAAGTGTCTGGTGAATGAGATGACTTGGAAGGTGCAAATGACAGACTGTGAGACCTAGTGGCAAAGGAAACAAGACAGTTTTATTAATGGGTTGGATTTTCAACCAGTGTTTATTGCATTATGTTGCAGTATTTTCTGTTGTGATTATATGATCCACTGTATGCAATGACCCCACAGTCCTCTGCTCTGGATGGCTGACTGTCTGGTACACACAGCGGTTATTAACTGTGTGTAGCATACCAGACAGCCAGAGAGAACTGTGGTAATGATAGTACTGTTTATCTGCTACAGCTGTTCAGTGTCATGGAGTGTCAGTATTTAGTCACATGGTAATGGTTCTTCCCATTATTTCAAATCAAGTCTAGCCTGAAACTTATAGCCACGCCACTGTAATCGAAGAATTTATAATGGTCTTGTATAATTTTCTGAATTTGCCCTATTTTTCCACCATGATAATGCCAATCAGCTAAGTAGGACTACACCATAAATAGGTTGTTTCACTGATGATAGCTCATTCATGTGGCCACGGTTAGACTCTCAGAACTTATGGTTTATCGATATGGTCTCTGTTACAAAGTGATTTTAATGTGTGGTACCCATTGTGCTTGGCATTCTGAGATATTTTGTGTCGATCAGACTATGACATCTGTTCTGCTGTTGTCACTTCTGGGAAATTCAAATACCCCCGTTACGCAATATCATGAGTGTCAGCATCTCTGCTAAGAACATTTGGTCTACGTGATTGTTTAGTGTATTGTTTAGTTCCTTATCTTAGTAATCCTGTTTATTGTGTAAGACCAGCAGTTTTTAAAGTGTGATCTAACTAGGGAAAAACCCTGGGTCCATCCTTGAAAACCTTAGCCTATATGTTTTTTTTGGGTCATGTCTGGTGGTCTGGAAAAACTCTAGGCCAGGGATCATCAACTAGATTCAGCCGCAGGCCGACTTCTTCTTGAGCGGATGGTCGGGTGTGGGTGGGGGGGGTTGGAACATAATTACAAAGAATTTGTAGACTGCAAATTGACCGCAAGAAGCCCAAACACATTTTTACATGATCACGTGTCTCTCCATTATGCGTGAAAATACACTACCAGTCTAAGGTTTGGACACACCTACTCATTCAAGGGTTTTTATTTATTTTAACAATTTTTTTACATTGTAGAATAATAGTGAAGACATCAAAACTATGAAATAATGCATATGGAATCATGTAGTAACCAAAAAAGTGTTAAACAAATCAAAATATATTTTATATTTGAGATTCTTCAAATAGCCACCCTTTGCCTTGATGACAGCTTTGCACACTCTTGGCATTCTCTCATCCAGCTTCATGAGGTAGTCACCTGGAATGCATTTCAATTAACAGGTGTGCCTTCTTAAAATGCATTTGAGCCAATCAGTTGTGTTGTGACAAGGTAGGGGTGGTATACAGAAGAAGCCCTATTTGGTAAAAGACCAAGTCCATATTATGGCAAGAACAGCTCAAATAAGCAAAGAGAAATGACAGTCCATCATTACTTTAAGACATGAAGGTCAGTCAATACAGAACATTTCAAGAACTTTGAAAGTTTCTTCAAGTGCAGTTGCAAAAACCATCAAGTGCTATGATGAAACTGGCTCTCATGAGGACCGCCACAGGAATGGAAGACCCAGAGTTAAGAGTTACCTCTGCTGCAGAGGATAAGTTCATTAGAGTTACCAGCCTCAGAAATTGCAGCCCAAATAAATGCTTCACAGAGTTCAAGTCACAGACACATCTCAACATCAACTGTTCAGAGGGGACTGTGTGAATCAGACCTTCATGGTCGAATTGCTGCAAAGAAACCACTACTAAAGGACACCAATAAGAAGAAGAGACCTTCTTGGGCCAAGAAACACGCGCAACAGACATTAGACCGGTGGAAATGTGTCCTTTGGTCTGGAGTCTAAATTTGAGATTTTTGGTTCAAACCGCCGTGTCTTTGTGAGACACGGTGTGGGTGAACGGATGATCTCCGCATGTGTAGTTCCCACCGTAAAGCATGGAGGAGGAGGTGTTACGGTGTGGGGGTGCTTTGCTGGTGACACTGTCTGTGATTTATTTACAATTCAAGGCACACTTAACCAGCATGGCTACCACAGCATTCTGCAGCGATACGCCATCCCATCTGGTTTGGTCTTACTGGGACTATCATTAGATTTTCAACAGGACAATTACATTTTACATTTTAGTCATTTAGCAGACGCTCTTATCCAGAGCGACTTACAGTTAGTGCATACATTATAATTTTTTTTCATACCCCCTGTGGGAATCAAACCCACAACCCTGGCGTTGCAAACGCCATGCTCTATCAACTGAGCTACATCCCTGCCGGCCATTCCCTCCCCTACCCTGGACGACGCTGGGCCAATTGCGCGCCGCCACATGGGTCTCCCGGTCACGGCCGGCTACGACAGAGCCTGGATTCGAACCAGGATCTCTAGTGGCACAGCTAGCACTGCGATGCAGTGCCTTAGACCACTGCGCCACTCGGGACACCTCCAGGCTGTGTAAGGGCTATTTTACCAAGAAGGAGATTGATGGAGTGCTGCATCAGATGACATGGCCTCCACAATCCCCCGACCTCAAACCAATTGAGATGGTTTGGGATGAGTCGGACGGCAGAGTGAAGGAAAAGCAGCCAACTAGTGCTCAGCATATGTGGGAACTCCTTCAAGACTGTTGGAAAAGCATTCCAGGTGAAGCTGGTTGACAGAATGCTAAGAGTGTGCAAAGCTGTCATCAAGGCAAAGGGTGTCTATTTGAATATAAAATATATTTTGATTTGTTTAACACTTTTTTGGTTACTACATGATTCCATTTGTGTTATTTCATAGTTTTGATGTCTTCACTATTATTCTACAATGTAAAAAATAATGAAAATTGGCGTGACCCTGGACAACACCCTGTCGTTCTCCGCTAACATCAAGGCGGTGACCCGATCCTGTAGGTTCATGCTCTACAACATTCGGAGAGTACGACCCTGCCTTACACAGGAAGCGGCACAGGTCCTAATCCAGGCACTTGTCATCTCCCGTCTGGATTACTGCAACTCGCTGTTGGCTGGGCTCCCTGCCTGTGCCATTAAACCCCTACAACTCATCCAGAATGCCGCAGCCCGTCTGGTGTTCAACCTTCCCAAGTTCTCTCACGTCACCCCGCTCCTCCGCACACTACACTGGCTTCCAGTTGAAGCTCGCATCTGCTACAAGACCATGGTGCTTGCCTACGGAGCTGTGAGGGGAACGGCACCTCCGTACCTTCAGGCTCTGATCAGTCCCTACACCCAAACGAGGGCATTGCGTTCATCCACCTCTGGCCTGCTGGCTCCCCTACCTCTGCTGAAGCACAGTTCCCGCTCAGCCCAGTCAAAACTGTTCGCTGCTCTGGCACCTCAATGGTGGAACAAGCTCCCTCACGACGCCAGGACAGCGGAGTCACTCACCACCTTCCGGAGACATTTGAAACCCCACCTCTTTAAGGAACACCTGGGATAGGATAAAGTAATCCTTCTAACCCCCCCCCCCCCCCCCCCCCCAAAAAAAAAAAAAATGTGTAAGTCGCTCTGGATAAGAGCGTCTGCTAAATGACGTAAATATAAATGTAAATGTAAATTCGACAGAACATTTTGGGGGCCACTTTGGCCCGCGGGCAGCCAGTTGGGGTTGGGGAACCCTGCTTTAGGCTCTTCTCGTGATACCATTTTAATCTGTTTGCTATGTCTCACTGAGTAAGAAAGGATTTCAAACAAGTGTATTGCTTTGCCATATCGTTTACAAAGGGTTGACCAAATAGAGTAATATTTCATATCAATTAAGAAATTATGTGCTTTGACAGTCACTTCTTGCGCCAGTCTCCTCCCCTTACTGCTTTTGACGACGTCATTCCCTATTTACCCACTTCGCAACCCACGCCACTCCCGCATATCAGTTTCTAGACGAGAGTTAAGGTTACCTGCTTCAACAGTGCTTGAACGGCAACCTTATACTCGTTTGAAGCAATTTCATTTTTATTCAATTCTGTCATCCCTTTTAAGAACCAAATTAGATCAAGCTATCCATAACATTTCGGAACATCGTTGAAACGAACAATTCGAATCACTCACACCACCTCTTCGGACCAGAAAAACCACAAGGTAAGACAAATAACATATCTAGCTAGTTAGCTAAGAATAAATACGTTTCTAAACGTAGCTGGTTGGCATAATAGTTGGATGGATGATGTAACTTAACGTAGCTAGCTAGCTAGCCACTACCGCCCAAGGCCGTAGTGAGGGTGGCTAACTAAATTAACTACGTTAGGTAACAAGCTACGCTAGCTACTGTAGCCAGCTAGCTAACGTTAAGCTTGCGACGATGTCAAATGCGTTGTAACGTTAGTGTAACAAGGGTGGGCTAAATTTAGATTATTTTACAATGTTAAAATAACTAACTAACAATCGTCAATGTTATGATGGCGGTGTTTTTCGATATTATGGTTGTTTACTTCATATGACCTTGTTTTGCCAAATAATGGCGTCTGGCGCCCAGTATTGCCAACAATTTTTCTGTGATCGGCTCCTTGATTTGCCGTTGCGGCAACGACATGGGGCGGCAGGTAGTTTAGTGGTTAAGAGCGTTGTGCCAGTAACCAAAAGGTCGCTGGTTCTAATCCCCGAGCCGACTAGGTGAAATCTGTCGATGTGCCCTTGAGCAAGGCACTTAACCCTAATTGCTCATGTAAGTCGCTCTGGATAAGAGCATCTGCTAAATAACTAAAATGTAATAACGGCACCAATTTGACTTGCTGCAGTCACAGACGTAGCGTTTTCTCCCCCTCTCCTGCGCACATCGCGTCCTTTGTTCTTCTGTGCCTGTGTGCGCGCCGTTACTGTGACTTCTGTTGCACAGACAGCTTCTCGTTTGCGGCAGAAGTGGGGAAAAGTCGCTAAATGCTATCAAAACTAGAAACCCTCGGTTTCAACTCCCAAAAGGCAGTTTGAAAACGAACTAACATCAATTCCCTCGTAACAACCTAAACATTGTGAAACTTATATTCGATCAAATAAGCTTCACCTATCAAAATAGCAATTCAGTTCAATCTTGACCAAATTCGACTCATTGTCTTCCCCCACCCCATTAAAAATAACCCCCTCTTCACTTGGTCTTAAAGAGAAACTGCCCCTAAACCAACTTCTAATTTTTAAAACATCCTAGGTGGCATCGATATAATGTCAAACATGTATTCTACTGTCAAAATTGACTACAGTATAAATAGGATCATTTTGGTCAGTCAAGTCAAACAGAGTTTTGTGAGACTTGTGGTCGTGACTGCATCACAATGTACATTTAAGGTTGGGTTTGTTACAATTCTGCCCACAGCTTGTGGCAGAAATGGAATGTGACCCAATCGTAATGCCCGTTGTAAATTTGGGTTTAGTTTGGATATCCCTACAGGGCTAGTTGGGGACCATCGGTAAATTACAGTGTACTGTATATGGGACTATGTTAATTCCAATATTTCCACATTTCAATGACTTAACCTCAAACGAACTAAATTGTAGAAATATATATACACATATTGAAAGCATTTAATGAGAACTAAAAGGTGTGCAAAATGAAAATATTGTCCCCATTTACACTAATGTATTGACGGTCTCGAAGTAGCCCCAGAGAGAGGTTTATCCGAAGTCCAACCAAATTTGCTATGGTCGCACACCAGCTAGCTGAAGCTAATTGGCGAAATAATAATTTGGCTAACTCTTCCCACCAATATCAAACCACACGCTGGAACCAATTCTCGTTTGAATTCAGTCATAGCCGCTAGCATTGCTTAATGAACCAAATCTAAAACAAGGCCAAATCAGGAAGTGCCGTCGACCTTAAAGCAGAAAGTCTGCTTAATCTGCGTGTACATATTTTGGGCGGTGTCGACCCTCTCGCTTCTTCCTCTCTGGGTGCGATGTGCATAGATAAGGTCAGAGTAGCAAGCTAAATAGAGAAATATATTTTAGTTGTTTTACTATTTAGTGGCAGCCAGATTTACAATGACAACCACCTGCCCATCGTGTTGAAATACGCCACTGTCACAGTAGTATTTTGGGTCATGTTTTGATGTGTTAGTTGGACACTGACACTGCACGTGTGGAGATGTACATGCTTCATAAAGTCAAAATACCTGAGAGACTCATGCTCAACTAGCCAACTAAAGGGTTACAGTGATGCCTCTCTCATAACCAAACAAACCATTTATCTATTTAATGGAATATGACCGGATAGTGCCAACCTTCTGTAACGTTAGACTATGAATTATTGAAGAGTCGGACAATCTTCTTCACTTTGGCATCAGGGCTCTCTCTCCATGCTGTTTTTAAAGGTGCCTGGATTCATTGAACCATTGAACCAAAAAGTGTGCCCTCCTCTCCTTTTTTGACAGTTAATATATTTCCTTTTCAGAAACATGACTTCTCAGGTGAGACAGAACTTCCATCCGGACTGTGAGGCTGCCATCAACCGGCAGATCAACCTGGAGCTGTACGCTTCATATGTCTACCTGTCCATGGTAAGAGCAAGAAAGACTGGTAGGGGAATGGAGAGAAAGTAGGGAAGAAGGGTAGTCAAGGACACCAGTATGACCAATTGAATAACTGATGTTTAGATTACAGGAACATGGAGTCATGTGGTGTAAAAGGTTTACACCCCATGACGGTGCAGATCCAGTATGACCAATTGAATAACTGATGTTTAGATTACAGGAACACTGAGTCATGCAGTGTAAGAAAGGTTTACTCCCCATGACGGTGCAGATGGGTGTGTTTTCAACACTCTGGCCTCTTGCATCCCATTTAATAATATGGCTGGGCAGTATGGCCTAAATCATCTCTATTTGTTTTCAACCTTGTGGGTGATTCACTATTTTATTTATATATGTATACATACACACACTCTGAATAAGCTTTGTTGTACAATTAAAGGTAAAATTCACCGCATTTCAAACAGTCAGCAATAATCTAATGATTTCAGGGCTTGTGAAATGTTTTCTAGGCTAAATATAAGCCTTCCACAACCATAAGACTCACTAATAATTTAATCAAAATAGTTTTTAAAGTGCTTTTTTTTTTGCAATAATCATAGATAACAGGGGAGGTTAGCATTTTTTTGGGGGTATGATATTTATGCCTCTAACTTTCTCACTCATTTCACGATTCATTCAGGACTATCTGTAATCATGGTAGCATCCATATTAATGTAGAAGTGTTTAGAAACATTCTATTCTTAATTAGAATAAAAGTGACTCCAAAATGACAATGCATTATTTACCATTCAGTTCTATTGGGCACAAAATAATCTGAAACAACCAAAACAAACAGCAAATGCATCCAACACATTTGTAGAGTCACAAGCTTGATGTAGTCATTGTGTGCTAGGAATATGGGACCACTTACTTAACTTATTTTATACACATATAAGTGAATTTGTCCCAATACTTTTGGTCCCCAAAAATGGGTGGACTGTATAAAAAGTGCTGTAATTTCTAAACGGTTGACCCGATATGGATGAAAATACCCTCAAATTAAAGCTGACAGTCTGCACTTTAACCTCATAGTCATTGTATCATTTCAAATCCAAAGTGCTGGAATACAGAGCCAAAACAACAACAAATGTGTCACTGTCCCAATACTTGTGGATCTCATTTTATCTGCCTACTGATAGCGCAGTGATCATTGTAAACACACATTGATTCCACTGATAGCCAGGCACTTCCTATGTCAAGATAATCATTTTGATATTGGGCTTTTGATTCGGCAAACAGTTAAGGTCTTGTGACCAGCCTTTCCTGACGCAGAACTGGAACCAGCCAGGTAGCGTTGCACTCACTCTTTATTTACTTCCTCTTGTCTTTCTCTGTTCTCTCCGTCTCAGGCGTACTACTTTGATCGTGATGACCAGGCCCTGCACAACTTTGCCAAGTTTTTCAAGAACCAGTCCCACGAAGAGCGTGAGCACGCTGAAAAGCTGATGAAAGTTCAGAACCAGAGGGGAGGGAGGATCTTTCTGCAGGACATCAGGGTGAGTGTGATTGTGTGTGCTGAGTGCTTGCGTGTACGGCCATGTTTCGCCTGTGTGCAAATGTATGCTTTCAGTGGGAGTTTAGTGTGGGGATATGATATTGCCCATATAGGGAGGGCCGACAGAGGGAGGAGATTGAGGGTGTGGACCCCTTATCTTTCACAGACATTTAAACCGCTGCGAGTGTCATAGAAACTGTCAGAGATAAATGTACGGTTGCAATGGGCGTGGAGAGAACGTTAAACAGCAGCCATACTGAATCATAGAGAAGAAAGACTGACTTTGCTTACAGATAGAGTAAAGCAAGGAGAGGTTAAGAAAACACACTGACACAACAGTGATATTTAAACTTGACTGATTGGCTTCTTAATAACCAATGTGTACTCCAGTTTGTCTGACATAAGCCAGTGGGGGGGATAGTGGTTTGTGTAGAAGTACTACTGCTGCTCTTTCTAACAGAGTATGTATGGCTTGTTCCAGAAACCAGAGAAGGATGAGTGGGATAGTGGTGTGGAGGCCCTTGAGGGTGCCCTGCAGCTGGAGAAGAGTGTGAACCAGTCCCTGCTGGACCTGCACACGGTCTGCTCTAAACACAACGACCCACACGTGAGTATATGGAGACAAGAACTATAAAAAGGCAAAACACCTTCATGTTATTTGAACTGCAATACTTTTTTAAGAATTTGTCTGAAGATCTTAAATCCGAATCTAATCCACCCACATTTCACATATAATTCAGGATATCATAAACGAGGCCCCAAATATGAAAAACCTGACGGACTTCAGGTGTTTGCGGTGTACACTTTTCTCAGTGCCAAGTCCACTGGGTCACATGACGGTTTTACTACTCTGGGGTTGTAAAAACACTTTTGTTCTAGTGTCTGGAAAAACACTAGAGATTATTCATCCTTGTTCTGTTTGTCTGAGGGCATCACTCCACTGAGTTTTGCTTACCTTTTTGTCCTTTCTCTTTCTACACCTATATTCCTCTGCCCCCCCCCCCCCACCTCTCAGATGTGTGACTTCATTGAGACACACTACCTGGACGAGCAGGTGAAGTCCATAAAGGAGCTGGGTGACTGGGTGACCAACCTCCGCCGCATGGGTGCCCCCCAGAACGGCATGGCCGAGTACCTGTTTGACAAACACACTTTGGGGAAGGAGAGCGCATAGATGGACCCTCCATTTTCTTGCTATATCCTATAGCTGTATTTCTCTGTCTTGCTTGATATTATATCTATAAGACTGGTCTGTTTTTCTGTCAGGAACTGGCATCAATCAAGTTTATTCTTGAATCCTTAGTTTGCACTTAGTTTGCACTATGTTATTCCCTCCAGTTTAACCTCCAGTTCCTATAAGCCATTTCCCCAGGCCAGTAGCCCTTCTCCTCTCTCTTCCAATTGACTGTCTAGCCTGCTTGTGTTTTGACGGCAGTTGTCATCAAACCAAATAAATGAAACCCTCTGGATTCTGATAGGCCTCTTTGTCATATTTCTGCTGAGGTGTGTGTATATAAAGATTAGTCTAAATGGTCTCATCATTCAGACATAATTTAGTTAAACACTGGTCTGATGACACAATGAATGGAATAAAGACCATTCAAGGATATTTGAAGATGTTGTGAAAAACTACTGTAGCTAGAGAATTGAGACTGACTGTAAAATAGCAGACTGATATTTATAAGATGGAATATTAAAACAAACTACTGCAAATTCAGCCGATTCACACTTCAATAATATGTATGCATGAGCAGAGAGCTCCAGTGACTCAATGCTCCTGTTAAGAAACCTCAGACACTTGAGTATATCTGAAAGGATTTTATATACTGTGTGTGTGTATATATATATATATATACACTTAGTATACCGAACACCATCCTAATATTGAGTTGCACCCCCCTTCCGAGAAACTGTTGAGCGTGGAAAAACCAGCAGCGTTGCAGTTCTTGACACAAACCGATACGCCCGGCACCTACTACCATACCCTGTTTAAAGGCACTTAAATATTTTGTCTTGCCCATTCACCCTCTGAATGGCACACATACACAATCCATGTCTCAAGGCATAAAAATCCTTATTTATCCTGGCTCCTCCCCTTCATCTACACTGATTGAAGTGGATTTAACAAGTTACATCAATAAGGGATCATAGCTTTCACCTGGTAAGTCTATGTCATGGAAAGAGCAGGTCTTCTTAATGTTTTGTATACTCTGCGTATATCCCAGGATATTGAAGTTTAATTCCAAAATGCTTTATACACATTTTCACATGTGTTTTTTCATCAGAAATGAATGCTTATGGATACCTTTGTGTAAAACGTTACCATTCTCAGATTTGTTATGCATAAGCCAGGTTTCCTTCTAACCTTTTTTATGCACGTGAAGTATGTCAAATAAAAAAATGTCGCGTCAGTCCTGATGGAAACAACACATTTGTAAACTTTCCAAATGTTGACAAAACTAAATACACTAGAGAAGGTGTGATCTTTTTGTGTCGGTAAAATTAGGCTTTTATGCTCAAATATTGATATAACCATCATATCGAAGTAATCTTGCAGTCACACGATGACATGTTGAGAGTTAGAGTAGTAGAATACACAAGGTGTCATTTCGAAATTTGGTTGTGCATCAGCAGTTTTTCTCATGTCAGTCACTAACAGTCACTCACTTAGCCCATGTCAGCTAACATTTTTTAGATTGGTAAATTAGTCTAGCGCCCAGCTATCTAAACTTGTAGTAATCATGGTCGAATTACCGACGGGAGGACCCCCATTGATTTTGTTAGTCACTCTCACTCAGATATCTTATTAAAAACTGCTAACATTTCTCTCCACCCTATGTCTAAATGTGTAGATGTGCAGGAAACTAGTTGTAAAACTGCACTTTTTTTTCCCCTGCCCCATGGCAAAATGAGTAGAATTGCATGAAATTAGTTATAAAATTACTAAATCTTCTCTCCTCCTCATGGAAAAATGTGTAGATTTGCAGCATGCTTGCTTTAAAACTGCAAAACTATTGCCGGCTGTGACTGTATGTGTGGTTCTGGATGTGGGTACTCAGACCCGCCAGACACTGCAGCCTCATGATAAATTCAGATTTTTTTGTGGCCCCCACACCCATCTAAATTGCCCATCCCTGATGTAGGCTATACTCGCACTGTATCTACGAGCTGTTGGTTAGAGTGCACATGCCAATACCAGAGTGGGCACATTCGCTATATTAACTCAATATTTTTTGTAACAAAACCATCTGTTGAAATGTGATGGAAACCTATTTAACATTTAACCGCAAAATATTAAGATTTGAGATGTATATTAAAAAGGTTTTGTTGCAAAACTCTATATATCCATTGTTTAGCTGGAATGGAATGTTCATATCTTGTAGATTTTACATAGATATATTACTTTATTGATACATAAATATTGATGTCACAAACATGTCCATGTGGTTGATACCAATCCATTAACTCCATTCCAGCCATTACTATGAGCCGTCCTCCCCTCAGCAGCCTCCACTGATGTACACTGAGTGTACAAAACATTAAGAACACCTTCCTAATATTGAGTTGCACCCCCTCCCCCCTTTTGCCCTCAGAACAGCCTCAATTTGTCGGGGGCATGAACTCTACAAGGTGACGAAAGCGTTCCACAGGGATGCTGGCCCATGTTGACGCCAATGCTTCCCACAGTTGTTTCAAGTTGGCTGGATGTCCCCATTCTTGATACACACGGGAAAGTGTTGAGCTTGAAAAACCCAGCAGCATTGCAGTTCTTGACACAAAACGGTGTTCCTGGCACCTATTATCATATCCCGTTCAAAGGCAGTTAAATCTTTTGTCTTGTTTCAATTGTCTCAAGGCTTAAAAATCCTTCTTTAACCTGTCTCCTCCTCTTCATCTACACTGATTGAAGTGGATTTAACAAGTGACATCAATGAGGAATCATATCTTTCACCTGGTTAGTCTATGTCATGGAAAGAGCAGGTATTCATTTTAACCAATCAGCATCCAGGATTAGACCCACCCGTTGTATAAAATGTTTTGTACACTTAGGGTGTGTTCGTAAATTCACTCTGTCTATCTACTCCGATTTTAGAGCACTCTAGTCTGAGTATGCCAGAGCGCAGAATAACTGATTAATTTACAAACGCTCAACACCCGTTGAATATGGCCTGTGTCAGTAAACGTTGGCAAAAAAGCATGGTTAAATTGTTGCCAGCAGCACAGTTACAGTCACCAATGCTCTGGCTAACATGAAAACAGCCTAACCAGCTCTGCTAAGGTGAGTAAAATGATCAGAGTGAGGTGTTCTCTCATTTGTGTCTGGAAGTAGCTAGCAAGCTAGCCAACGTTAGCCAGTTAGCTTGGGTGCTTGACTGCTGTTGTTAGGACAGAACACTCAAATCAACCCTACTCCTCGGCCAGAGTGTCCTGAATTTACGAATGGAACTCTGACAATGCTCTGAATTTAGGAACGCCCATAGTGCACTGAGCGATAGATGGGGTAAAACACACCAATCTCTCTCTTTATGTAATCATGTCAACTGTCTATTTGGGGCTACGGTTTGTTTTGGACAGGACCATAGTAACAGTGTCAAAAACAGGATGTGATGCTGAGGAAATTCCCAAGTTTAATTTCCAGTCAGAACTGTTTTTATTAGTCAGGAAAGGAGAACTGGCCACGCAGCTGGCATTCACTGCCAACAAAACATTACTGTGCTGCAAGGTTATAATAGAAAATGAAAACGAATCATGAAAAAACTTGCTCACACACATAATATGCACATGCATTTATACTGACTCTACACACACACACTTACATACAATCATCATATACGCTGCTACTAGTCTGTTTATCATATATCCTGATGCCTAGTCACCTTACCCCTATACACAGTTGTAGTATTTTTTTCTAAACTTTGGCCAAATATTTCATGTGGTTTTCAAGCTTTTGGGGGGGGGGGGGGGGTTCAAGCTGCTGAATCTGGCAGGTAAATGCGTCCAGGAAATTCAAAAAGGTGTAGCTTGAGTATCACTATCACTATCTATCACTAGCTAACAAGGGAGAAAAAACGTCTAGGTAGCAGCTTACTTGTACTACTAAAGTTGAAAAGCATTAGATTGGTGTAAACATGGGCGAGATAGTTTACTTCCACCATATTTCTTGCACCAGTCTGGACACTATTCCTTTTAAATCCAAGTCAGATTGAGATTTACTTTATAATTTAAACCTAACCTTAGCTCTTGAGAACCAAAGGCCATCCAGCCATGGGTTCTCATTTGAACAATAACAGCGGGGTCAATGTTATGTGTAACTGTTAATATTCACCGCGTGCAATATGGTTTTGGAAACCTCTACTTTCATATCACCCCAAAACTATTTTACAAATATAAAAGATACACAGATTCCCACTGAGGTGTTTTGCATTGCACTTCCTGAACAAACAAAAAAAATGTTGGCTTGAATCTGTTACACAGAACACCTCAGTGGAAATCTGTGGTAAAACAGCTAACAGTAAGTGTATCTTTTGTGTTTGTAAAGTTATTTTTGGATAATTAAGTTGAGTGTTCAAGGTTTCCAAAACCATATCACAATCACGGATTAATTGATTCTAGATAGAGTGTTTCACACTTGACCAAATCACTTCAGCTAATCAAAAGGGACGTGGAATGACTCCAATGTAGCATTGGAGTCATGAGAAGGGCTAACCTAACCTATGACCTGACCAATCACTTTATGTATTACTGCCCCCTGTTGTGACATCCCAAAAAACACACAAAGAAACTGTACAACCCAAATTTATCCTAGCCTCCCACACATGCTTTATGTTCTTAACACTAAAACTGAAACGAAAAATGAATATTTTTAACTTAAACTAAATAAAAACTAGGAAATCAGGTCTGAAAACTAACTGAAACTAAACTGAATTCAAAATAAAAATGTAAAATATATAATAATAATAATTGTTTTGTTACCTTTCAAAATTCAAATATTTGGTAACACTTCACAGTAATGTACTATTTTAAGTGTGTTTTAAGTACAGGTAACACCTGAGTAAATGAGGGATCCAAAGTATATTGAAAACAGGTGCTTCCACACGTGTGATTCCAGAGTTAATTAAGCAATTAACAAATACCATCATGCTTAGGGTCATGTATAAAATGCTGGGCAGGCCATTATTTTGTCTACCATGGCTATGCCCCCGTAGGATGACAATGCCCCCATCCACAGGGAACAGTGGTCACTGATCTGGTTGGCTGATGTGACGAGTACTGAGGATACGAAGAGGCAGGACGCAGACGTAGGAATCAACAATGTAAAGGTTTACTTAACACTGAGCAAGAGAACAACAAAGAGCGAGTACACGACATAACACTAACAATCACACACAACACTGAACAGTCCAGGGCTATATAGGGGTGGTGATGAGATGAGGTGCAGGTGCGCTGGAGGTGATTAGGATGCGTTGGGTTTCCATTCCGGTGTTGCCAAGGTATGACACATGAAAAGTGGGTGATACACGGTAGTGAGGGGGAAGGAGCAGCCGGTACGATACCTCATTTATCTGCCGGAGGACCTTAAACGGCCCCACAATCCGGGGGCTCAGTTTCTTGCAGGGCAGGTGGAGAGGGAGGTTTTTAGTGGACAGCCAGACACGCTCACCAGGCTGGAATACGGGGGCCTCACTGCGGTGGCGGTCGGCTTGGTCCTTCTGCCAA